TCTGTCTCTTCTTACATGAATATGAGTACACTATACTAGTAAGTCTTAGGAACATAATATTTTCCAATTTAGAATTCCTCAGATCACATAAAACTACCTGCCTTTATCAATTATTTATTTCTCAATTTTCATGTTAACAGGGAAAAAAGAGTCCAAATTGCATTCATACTATTACAATGTAGCAATGTCCAATGTGTATGAACAAGGTCTAGAAAGAAACATGATGATAAAAAGTTAATGTTCAAGTGATGAATTATGAATTATTAAGTTGATATAGGTTGCCATGTAAAGCAAGCCAAGGCTGAGGCATTACTGACAGTCTGTGGGCAAAGCAGCATGTAAACACTGCCAAGTTACAGCTATTTCATAATTTTGAGTTGTAACAATAGGTTTTCTCGGAAAAAAAAAATTTCACGTGTCCACACAAGAATTACCTTGAGGGCGAAAAAACACATTATTGACATATTTTGCTATACTGCATTTTGAAGAGTTCTTTTAAAAAAGTAATCATGTAGAAAAAAGAGCCACATACTAGGAAATGACCACTCATTAATTCAACGATATTGTCTAACTTACTTAGCTTCCTTCTGTTTCCTCTGTAGTCAAATGAAAAGCTCTATGCTGTCCAATACAGTAGCCACTAGCCACATATGACTATTGAGCACCTGAAATGTGGCTAAACCCAAATGAAATATGTTCTAAGTGTAAAATACCAATATAAATACACACTTAGGACCAAAAGAAAATGTAAAATATCTATCTCATAAATAATTTTTTAAGTTGATTACATGTTGAAATAATATTTTAATATATTGGGTTAAATAAAATGTGGTTAAAATATCTTTTCCTGCGGCGCCTGGATGGCTCAGTTGGTCGAGCGTCCAACTTTTGATTTCTGCTCAGGTCATGATCCCAAAGCTGTGGAATTGAGCCCCATGTTGGGCTCTGTGCTGAGCATGGAGCTTCCTTAAAATTCTAAAATTTAAAAAAAAAAGTATATATATGTGTATATATATGTATATATATACATACATACACACACACACACACATATATACATACATCACATACACCTTTTCCTGTTTATAATGTAACCACTAGAAAAATTTTAATTACATATGTGACTTGCATTATATTTTTATTGGACAATATTAGACTAGATCATACCTTCCACCCCTTAATATTCTGATATCCACCATAAGCTGTAGAGGCACAGCCCTTCAAATCTGTAAAGCATTACACAGCGTAGATTTAGTGTTTCCTTCTTCCTTAGAGTCCACTAGGTGGCACTAGTGCTAAGGCTTCAACCTAGTAACAGGGATTTAAAATATGTACCTGGCAGTTTTCTAAATATGCTGTGTGCTTAGGCTCATCTCTATGTCCTTGCTCATGGTTCCCTCTCCTGGGAAACTCTGAACTTGGGTACCTATTCATTTTTTAAAATTCAGATCCTTTAAGAAGATTTCCCTTTCAATATCTGCCTCTGGCCAGCAGGTAACTTTATGTCCCTACATCCTATACACATACTTCTGTCACAGAACCCTGAAACATTATGGGTTTGTTTATAAGTTTTCCTTCTACTGTCTTATGCATGTTGTCTGAAGTAGGTAATCATGAAATCTTAGTCGATGTGTGTTGCCCAGTAGGTGCCAAAGGCAATGTATCAAGTCAGGACAGGCCAAGTTAGGCTGCAGATGCTTGACACAACAGAGGTTTCTTTCTCATCTATACTACATGTTCACCAGGGATCAGTAAAGGGCTCTGCTCCTTGGCTTCCTCACTCCAGGACCTACTTTCATGGAACAGTTGCATTTGGAGCATTGATAGTCACTGTAGTGGAGGGAAAAAGGTTTTGGAGGTTTCTGAACCAGTGCTTAAGTGTTCCAGTTTAGAATCAACATAAGTCACTTCTACTCACAACTCATTGGCAAGAACTAATTCACGACCCTGTCCAACCACAAAGATGTCAGAAAGAGCACTTCTATCATGTGCTTGAAAGGCAAGGGCAGAAATACTTGGAGAATATTAATGACTACCACTACTGACCCTTCTAGTGAATAATCATTCAGCTCACTATCCCTCCTGCGGCTGGGAATCCATTCAGCCTACCTCCTCCAAAGGAACAACCCACAAATTCCCCTGAGCCACAACATCAAGTCCAAATTAAAGAATCTGAGTGAGGCACAATGGTTTCTATACCAGTTTCTGATATGGCTTGAGATGGAGAGCTATAGACTAAAAAGACAAGCCCCACACAGTGAATAAATATTGGTGGAACAGGAACAAGATGAATCAGAGGGGAAAGGGCGAGAATGGGAAACACAGCAGCCTTGTGATTATGATGTGCCACTGAGCAGATGCAGTGAAGGGAGAAGGCAATATTCCTTGATTAGGCCCCAACTCTGCTTCCTAAGAGTGCAGCCTTAGGCAACTGTACTGTTCCAAGCTCCTGAGAATTTAGGGTTGTTGCCGCAGCCTAAACTAACCTAATGTCCTTGACTGATAAGGAGATAGGAGTGTGTGTGTGTGTGTGTGTGTGTGTGTGTGTGTGTGTGTGTGTGTGTTGGGTGGGTATGTTTAAAAAAACAAAAGCCCTGGGGCGCCTGGGGCGCCTGGGTGGCTCAGTCGGTTAAGTGTCCGACTTCAGCTCAGGTCATGATCTTGCGGTTTGTGGGTTCGAGCCCTGCATCGGGCTCTGTGCTGACAGCTAGCTCAGAGCCTGGAGGCTGTTTCAGATTCTGTGTCTCCTTCTCTCTCTGACCCTCCCCTCCTCGTGCTGTCTCTCTCTCTCAGAAATAAATAAAACACTTTAAAAAAATTTTAAAAAAAGCCTTAATATGTGTGGCATTAACTTACTTGGAGGGTAGCAAAAAGGTCTTATTGAAAGATGGCAAGATGGCAACTCATGTTATGCAGTAGCAAAGTATTTGGTAAAACTGTTGCCTGCAGTAACTTAAATTCTGTCACACATAATCTAATCTAGCTAAGAAGAAAAAGTCAGAAAACAGAATTTTAGCAGCCTGAATTGGAGACTGTTGGTTACCATCGACAAAGTACAGAATTAGCTCAGACAAGACCCGAACTGGCCATTTTGCAAGCAACACAAGGGATGCAGAGACACTACAGAAATCAGTGGTGGGCCTGCAAGGTTCACAGACACAATGGCTTCTTATCCCTAACTGGCTAACAGATAAAACCAAGAAATGTTTGAAATGACAAATGCCGGGGTGCCTGGGTGGCTTAGTCGGTTAAGCGTCCGACTTTCGCTTAGGTCATGATCTCGCGGTTCGTGGGTTCAAGCCCCGCGTCGGGCTCTGTGCTGACTGCCAGCTCAGAGCCTGGAGCCTGTTTCAGTCTGTGACTCCCTCTCTCTGACCCTCCCCTGCTCACACTGTCTCTCTCTCTCTCCTAGAAATAAATAAAACATAAAAAAAAAAAATTGAAATGACAAACGCCATTTTGAACTCCTGTTTTTCAGGTAGGATAATGGATTGACTTCTCTTACCCATCTAACTGACAACCAGGTTTACCTAGACCTGTCCCAGTGTTAACTCTGAGTGCTACACCCCAGAAACTCCCTCTGCCAGGCAAACAGGGACAGCAGGCCACCCTACTCATAGAAAGACCGAAACAGTGGTACGGCCATCGTATTCACTGTTAAAACCTCAAGTAGGTCCAACCGTCTTAGAGCAAAGACCTCACAAAGGTTGTGGCACCCCGTAAACCATTTCAGTTCATCTGCTTGGGGAAGAGACTTAAGGTGCAGCTCTCCTGCTTAAAGTTTGAAATACACCAAATGAGGTGGAGACATGAGAAAAATATATCAAATTTAAGAAATATGTCTAGGAAAACTACTGCACATGAAAGTGCCTGAGATCAGAGATAAAAAAACCAACCACAGGTTTGATTGTACTGTGCTACCGAGAGACAAGTCACATAAGCCCAGCCGTCCACCAAGGGTCAGGAAGCCTAATCATACTATGTTGCCCAGAAGGTGGTAAGCTGGAAATACTTGGTAAATGGCATTAATGACCGCCACGGTGCAATAAATAGAAGTGATGTCCAAACCACTGGCTTCTAGAGGGTGGCACCTAAGTTTAAGAACAACCTAGGAAGCAAAAGTGGTTCAGCAGAGAACAGCATACTCCAGTCTTACCCTTGGGCAAAAGTAAATCAAACTCACCTTACATAAAACACAAATCAAGAGTGTGAATGGATCTATATTACCAGGGGCAGAGGAGTGAATGCACTTGAACATGGAGTAAGGGATGCAGGAGTGGAAAAAAAAAAAAAAAAAAAAAAAAAAAGCCCTCCATTTCTGTGTAAAAGCCACGCTGCATAGATCTGGGAGTGAGCAGAAACAACTGTCGTAGGCGCGGGCATTTTGCCAACTGACTTGGAGAACAATCAGAGTTGAGCCCTCATTGCTTGAGCAATGCAGAAGGAAAAAACCAGAGCCTACTGGACTGATAGTCTCCTTCTCCCAGAGACAGAGGTGAGGGTGCTAGAATAATCATTTTTCTTTTTCTTTAGAAATGGAGAGCCAGGGCACCCGGGTGGCTCAGTCGATTAAGGGTCCGAGTTCAGCTCAGGTCATGATCTCACATTTTGGGAGCTGGAGCCCCGCGTCGGGCTCTGTGCTGACATCTTGGAGCCTGGATCCTGCTTCAGATTCTGTGTCTCCTTCTCACTCTACCTCTCCCCCACTCGCACTCTGTGTCTCTCTCTCAAAAGTAAATAAACATTTAGAAAAAAAAAAAAAGAAAGAAATTGAGAGTCAAGAGAATACTGGAGTATTCTTGGCCCACGATCAGAAAACTTGTTGATATGAGGCAGATGCGACTGCCCCGGCCTCCAAATTCAGGTATATTTATATTACGTTTTAAACAAAGTGTTTTAAGTTTCTGCTTCAAAGTTTTTAAGATGCCAAACCCCAGGTCTAAGAATTAAGACCTTTCCCTACCACTAATTTCAAGGGTAGAGGTCAACATGACACAAAGTGGAAATATATACTCAACTTTTATTTCACTAGAAAAACCCACTTAAGCCACATGGTGGCCATAATGCCACATCCTGAGCAGGCTTTGTCATCCCACTGTCCCATTCAGACCAATATTCATTCACAAATTCATGCTGTGTTGGAGAAAGGACATTTAACATGTGAAACAATGAGAATTGGACACTATTTCATCATCCCCCTCCCATACACCAACCCATACACCACTTCAACTGTTGTCCACACACAGACAAGCTCTCAGGGAAGGGAGGCTGGACACCAGACAGATTGACCATAAGACACCAAGTCCGAAGGAACTCTTGGCAGATGCTGAGGAAGCAGGGATGAAGATGACACCATCTCCAGGCAGCGGAACATGAAGCACAAGCCCCTATCTAAGAGATGTCAGAGAAATGTTGTCAAGGACACCAGAGGGTACAGCAGACCCTGGGAAGAGTGACATCATTCCCTCGCAGTCACAGGCAACCCATTCACATCAGGCAGGCTCTTTTTCCAGGACAAGGCGCATCCAGAGGGGAGAGGCCCTTCAAGGGCCTGGGAAACAGTTTGATAACACTGATGTTCTGAGCCTGCCTGTGCAGCTCCTGCCTGGACCCCTGCCTGGGGTTCCAAGGTTATAGCCGGTGGAGTGAGGTCTTATCACACCCCTCTGGATGGACGGTGCGGAAGGCCCTCGGGGGCTCTGTGCTGGCTGGCTGACTTCTGGCAGTCCAGGAGCTCCCAGGCAATGGGCTCTCCAGTAAGCCTCCCAGGGACTCCATCAGTCTCACGAAAATGGAGAGCAGGGTGAGCACCACACCTAAGAGATAGAGGTTCAACAGAGGCTTCATGGCTGAAAGGACCCCACTCCTCTGTAGAGAAGTAAAGCTGTATTCTGCTTCTGGAAGGCCTCTGGATGCTGAGGAAAGAGAGGAGAGGTTAACCTACAGCCTTTTGGGATATGGATGCATCTGGCCCTGACTTCTGTCTTCCCATAGAGTTCAGGGTGAGGCTCAGCCAAGCAGGGAGATAGGGACCAGCAGATGGTCTTCTGCAACAGAATCTCTCAGCATATTTACACTATAAACTCCATGGCCCTAGAGCTAGTCTTCCTTGGTGGACTAATTCAAGGGCACTCCTTAAAACTTTCACATCTTCTAGGGCGCCTGGGTGGCTCAGGGTTAAGCTTCCCAACTCTTGATTTAGGTTCAGGTCATGATCTCACGATTTGTTGGTTCCAGCCAACAAATGCAACAGCACAGAGGCTGCTGGGGATTCTCCCCCTGCCCCTCTGCCCCTCCCCCACTGGCGTGGGCGCCCTCTCTCAAAAATAAATAAACTTAAAAAAACCCAAAAAGCAACTTTCACTTCTTCTAAAGCAAAGCCTTTTACTTCTCTTGCCTGGTGCAACACACAATCCTTGTGCCACAACTCAGCGCACAGAGGGACCAAAAATCTTCCAGAACCGACTCTTTCTGAGGGAGGAGGTTAAGAACATATCCTTGAGAAAGCAACCTGCCTTGAGGTCTCCCTCACATCTCAGTCGGGTTCCATCCAGTTAATCATAAATTTTTTGATGCCGTCAAAATAATTCTAAGGCAGTCAAAGCCATCAAGTTCACTTATTTAACAAATACACCCTGAATACCTACAGTGTGTTAGGCACTCTGCAAGGTACTAGAGCAACGCGGGGGGGCCGTCAGCATGAACCCTGCCCTCCTGGGGCTGATCGAAGCAAGACAATAGGCAGTTACCCCCCCCACCCCCCCACACCACGCCAAATGCTGTGACAAGAAGGGTTCTTTGGGAAAGCAGGCCTGGGACACTTAATCCAGGCGTAGGCATGGGGAGGGCCACATGTAAGACAGGGTCACCCCTGAAAACAGAGCTGGGGGGCTGACTCCGGACCCGGGTGCAGGCGGAGGAAGGGGCACGGGTTCCAGGCGGCGCGGCCGCAGGCCGGGACCCCGAGGTGGCCCGAGGGGCACGCAGCCTGGGGAACGGGGGCGCGAAGGCGCGGAAGCCCACAGGGCCGCTCACCTCGGGGAGCAAGCGCCAGGAGCCGTCCGCTCGCGGTAACTGCGGGTCGTGGAGGAGTCGAGGAAGTCTGCCCCGGAACAGAGCTAAAACGCCACCAGGAAGATTCTCGGAGGACAAAAGCGCAGCCCTCGGCAAGCGACACTGGGAGGCCTGCCACGCCTCCCGCTTATAGCCACATCCCGGTCCTGGAGCCCGCGCACGCGCACTCGGGCAGCACGCACTCTCCCTGAAGCACGTCCGCGGCCCCGCCCCCGAACGGGGGCGGTCCGAGGTCTGGGTGCACGGGCCGGGCTCTCTGTCCGACCTGTTACAGAAAGAACACAACTTGGGGTTCTGAGTCACTGAGGTCAGCAGTAAGATCAGCGTGTGTGTTAACTTAGACTGTTTTTTCCTGCTGCAGGAAGCTTTGGAAGGAATCAGCGCATTTACCTCCATACTAAATGGATTGAAAGACACACCTGAAGTGCCCCAATCCGAGGGCCCTCAGGTTGGATGAAGACCGGTCTGCGGAGGAGGGCTTCTTCACCAGACCTTCCAGCAAAGCACAGATTGTCAGAAGGCATCAGACCCCCCCCCCCGCCCCCAGGGTTTAAATTCCAGGGACTGAAGAGCTGACTTTCACTTTCTAGAAATACCAACGTTCCAGGCACCAGGCCACCCCCCACCCCATTCCAATCCTGAGGTTTAATTTACTATTGATATTACTGGAATGAGGAGGCGTTTTCGCATCGTATTAAGTTCTGCTTTCTACGAAAGCTTGTCATGTGTCAGAAAATCTGAAACACTCAGCTGGCCCTGGTGTTTGTGCTGTCACTTTGTACTCACTGGGCCTCAGTTTTCTCACCTAAAATGTGGGCACTAGATTTTTAAAGATACTTTCAGATTGAACCAAAGAGCTAGGAGGTGACAGTCCAGTCTCATCCCTAGACTGGGGGGGCTGGGAAGCCTTACTAATCCCACCCCCACCCTCCGCAAAACCAGAGAAATGTAGACGTTCTACTGTGAGAGCACCCAAAGGCGGATCTCGGAAACTAGAGAGTCCTGGGAAGACACTGGGAGTCAGCGGGCCCCTGGGAAGGAAACTTCCGGTAAGAAGGCTGCCAGTGGTTTCCTTGCCTTCCTCCTGGGGAGGAAGAGGAGGGCAGAGGGTCAAAGCGCCGGGGCGGTGACTCTAGGCTGGTCCACAGAGCTGTGGGACTGGAGGTTCCACGTGCCAGGGGCAAGTGCCTGGGCTGGACGGGGGAGGACCCAGGACGGGGAAGAACCCGGGAGCTGTGCTCTGCCTTTTAGTGAAAAAGGACTGAAACAGCAGGAAGGGAGGAGCCAAATCCCAGCTGTGACTTTTCCCCTACTTTCTGGGCTCACAGTCTGGTTTTTCAGGAGTGGGTGGGGAAAGGAGAAAGTTGGGAATTGAGACGTGCTGGCAGGCAGGCACTTAGAAACTAAATTTTCTATTTAGCTAGCAAGAATTTTTGGTCTTTCCTAAAAGTTCTGTCTGCTTTTGGGCTGGACCCAGTGACTCTTGCTCTGTTAGAAGACGCTGGAGCTTCAAAATCACAGTGCCAGATGTCCCAAAAGCTGTCGCTTGCTAGCTGGGGGGTTTGGGCAAATCCTTTAACTTTGCTGTACTTCAGTTTCCTCAGTTGTTATATGATAATAGCCCTCACCTGGAAAGTAAATGAAATCATCACACAAAGAATGGTGTCTGGCACACAGAAAGCATTGCTTGAGGGGCACCTGGGTGGCTCAGTTCGCTAAGCATTGGACTCTTGGTTTCTGCTCAAGTCATGACCTCTCAGTTTGTGAGTTCAAGCCCCACATTGGGCTGTGTGCTGACAGTGCAGAGCCTGCTTGGGATTCTCTCTTCCCCTTTCTCTCTGCCCCTCCCCTGCACTCTCTCTTTCTCTCTCAAAAATAAATAAATAAACTTAAAATAAATTAGAAAACATTCCATGAGTGTCAACATTATCTGTATCATTGACCACAAAACTCCCAAAGAGGGGGTTTGTTTATAGTAGCCTATGTTTGGTGCTCGAACCCAGGAATTCCACAGTAACCCTTTGGAATCTGCTTACTGTGAGCCTTAAATTTTTATTTTCACATAGCAGGAAGGAAGAGATGGGCACCTCTCCAACACTTCCTTCTCCTCCATATTCACTGTCATTGCTTGAATGTTATGCCAGCTGAAGATAACCAGGGTTTGGTGGAATATAGATAGCCCTGTGCTTCCCAACTATCAGCTACAAACATTATTGGCTGTCATCTTTGGCATGTCTAAATCAGGATTTTCATCCTGTCTCCAACACTGGCCAAGTTAATTAATCTATTTGAACCTTAGTTTCCTAATCTGTAAATTAGGGAAAATAATATGTAAATAAATAAATAAGAGATGCTAGATAAGTAGTGGCTATCGTTTTCCTAAACCATTTAGAGGCAGACTTTTTTTTTTAAAAGAAACATGTTTATTTATTTTGAGAGTGGAGTAGGGGCAGAGAGAGAGAGAAACAGCAGGGGAGGGGTAGAGAGAGAGGGAGAGAGAATCTCAAGCAGTCTTCATGCTCAGCATGAGCCCTACTCGGGGCTGGATCTCATGAACAGTGAGATCATGGACTGAGCCAAAATCAAGAGTCAGATGCTTACCCGACTGAGCCACCCAGGAATCCCAAGGCAAATTCTTTTTAATTTCATTTTTGTTTTTTTTTTAAATATAATTTATTGTCAAATTGGTTTCCATGACAAATTCTTCTTTAAAAGTAATCCCTATGCCCAACGAGGAGCTCAACCCTGAGGTCAAGAGTCACTTGCTCCACCAACTGAGCCAGCCAGGTGCCCCAAGAGGCAATTCTTATCCTAAGCAAGCTCTCATCTTGTTGGATTGATAAGACCTAAAAAATCTAACTACCAGCCCCAGGTGCTGTAGGTGTATTGGCTAGAAATTAGTCACACTTAAGCGTGATTCCTGCTCTGTAATTTGTTAGTTATTGTCTTCGGGCTCTGCTTGCCTCAGTTTTTTCATTTATATAATGGGAGTAATAATAGTTCTAACCTAATAAGACTGTTATCAAGATTAAAGAATGGATGTAAAATACTTAGCATAGACTAAGGGCCCATTAAATGGTGGCTATTAATCTAATTAGCTCCCAAAGCAGACTGTCATGAATGTACCTCAGTGCTTGGGAGCCCAGAAATAGAGGAAGAGAGAAAACTGGGAGGTAGAGAAATATGAAGTAAGAACATATCTAGAGTGGCAAGGCCTTGCTTGGGGATCTGGAATTGTAACGTTCACCATGAGTAAATGGAAGGCTAGAAACAAAGTAAGCATTCACCAAATAACTGACATGTGCCAAGCTTTTGGCTACATGAATTACGTATTATTATTTAACTGAATACCCATAACAACAATTCCCATTATTGCCTCCCTACTATATTTGTTAACCACACTTTTCCCATCAGCTAAAAAAGAAACTTCCCTTCAGCTAGTCTTTTACTTACTCATCCTTCAAATCTCAATTCAAACACATTTCCTCTGGGAACTCTTTGCTGACCCTCAGACCCTTGCTACAGGCTGCAATAGCATGATACACATTTCCCTCACTATTTGTTACCTTACCCTTAGTTGTATTAATGTCTGCTTCCCTCTCAAAAGCCTGAAAGCATCAGTGAAAGGGGTATCTGGTCTGATTTTGTTTTCATTTCATCCTAGTGCCTAACACCGCATAGTGGGCTTTCAATAAATGTTGGTTGATTGAAGAAATATAGGAACAAATGGTTATCTTACTCATCATCTTTAATAAGGCCCCATTGTTCCACCAAAGAAGGGTAGACAGGGCCCCAAGACAAACTCCCTTCATGTTCTACCTCCTTCTTGGGAACTGCTAATCAAGAAAAGCTCCTTATGAACCCTATTTTTATCCCACACCCCTCAAGAGAAGTGACTCCAGTCAGGCTACATAGGAGTACCGTGCAAAGATTCCACTATCTTCACAAATTTGATCTATGATCCTGGGGCCAGTTAAAGAACATGTCTTTGCCTTGCTGGTGAGTATAAATTGGTACACCGTATGGAAATCAATTCGGTAATAGCTATAAAAACAAAAGAATGCATTTGCCCTTTAACCTAGAATTTCACTTTTAGAAATGGTCATTACAGACAAATTGCTGCATGTGGAGAACAGGGTATTTAGAGGCAGTCATTGCAGCACTGTTTATGATAGAGAAGGTTAGAAAGAAACACAGCAGCCTGTCAGTAGGAACTGGTTTAGTAAATGACCGGGATTGCACATTCATACAGTGGGTCACCGTGAAGTCACCAAAAAGAATAAGCAGTTTTGTACACATATATTAAGTGGAAGAAGCCAAGTGTATAGTGTGTGTATAGTATGCTACAGTTTGTGTTAAAACAGACTCACAAGATAGGATGTACAAAATGAGATACCATCTCCTACCCACTATGATACCTACACACATATATACATGTTTTTTAATGTTTATTTATTTTTGAGAAAGAGCGTACAAGGGAGAGGCAGAGAGAAAGGGAGACAGAGGATCTGAAGCAGAGTCCACACTGACAGCAGAGAGCCCACTGCGGGGCTTAAACTCATAAACCATGAGGGGCGCCTGGGTGGCTCAGTTGGTTAAGCGTCCGACTTCAGCTCAGGTCATGATCTCACGGTTTGTGGGATCGAGCCCCGCGTCTGGCTCTGTGCTGACAGCTAGCTCAGAGCCTGGAGCCTGCTTCAGATTCTGTGTCCCCCTCTCTCTCTGACTCTCCCTTGCTCACGCTCTCTCTCTCTCTCAGAAATAAAGAAACAAAAAAAATAAAAAATAAAATAAACTCACAAACCGTGAGATCATGACCTGAGCCAAAGTTAGGTGCTTAACCAACTTAGCCACCCAGGCACCCATATATATATATATATATATACATTTTTAAAGAAAATAGAATAAGTGTGGGTGGGGATGTGGAAGTCCTATACATTGCCTTGGGAATGTAAAGCGGTCAGCTGTTGTGGAAAACAGTTTGGTAGCTCCTCAAAGAAGTTAAACATAGAGTTACTTTTATCCAGCAATTCTACACTTAAGTATCTACCCAAGACAACTGAGGGCATGTTCACACAAAAACTTATATGCAAATGTTCATTTCATTATACGTAATAGCCAAAAAGGTGGAAACAACCCAAATGGACATCAACTGAT